GGGTTTGGTCGATGCTCTCTCGGGCGCGCGGGGGCCGCGGCAGGCAAGGTTCGCGCAGTCACCGCAAGGCGACCACGCAATCCGAGGGGGGGCCGGCCGCAGGGCAGCCCGCGCAAGCACTATCTCCTCCTAGGATCCTCCTCCCTCCTCCCTCCTCCCTCCTCCGTCCTCCTCCACCTCCTCCTCCGTCCTCCACCCTCCTCCTCCTGAGAATATCCTCCCTCCTCCCTCCTTCCTCCTCCTCCTACACGCCTTGTGAAACACCTCGATGCTCCCAGCCTCTATCATGCACGCGTGCTGGGTCGCCGCACTCTTGTGCAAAGTGCCACCAGCCCCGTGCCCCAGAGTAGTCAACGGCATGTGCCTGTACACTGCGCGCTGATTGATGTCCATGGCAAGGCACTCTTCTGACGTGAGTGTCACTGGCCACGTGACCTTGCTTTCTAAAACTGTATAGAACTAGTAAGGGGCCTGAGGGGAACTGTCGGCTTGCCAGTGGCGACAACTCGTCGTGGCAGCCGCTGTTTTCTGCATATACAACATTTCCAAATATGAAATCCTCTGCCTAGTCTCACCCCTCACGAAAGGAATGGCACGTTGAGGGATCGCGGCCAATATGGGTGCTCTCGCTGCAGCGTCAGGTACTGCAATCCGAGCGCATAGACTAAATAATAATATAATACTATAAAAATATAAAAAACATAATAAACTTAAATAAAAATAAATAATATATATAAAAATAGCTATTGAAACTAAACTAAGAATATAAATAAAGTATATATTATATACCTTGAAGGCTCGTAGGTTGCGGGTCCCGCAGATTTCGAGCAAGTAGCCAGCATCGAAGTTGCGTTTCTGGCTTGGGAGCCGCATTGCTCATCCACCACTGGCGGAGCGTTGATGGTAGGAGGCTGAGGGGGGGGAGGGGCTGCAAATCCGCGAGGGGGCGGAGCCCCCAGGGCCCCCAAGATGGAGAGAGGATGGGAGGTCGAATGGGATCCATGCTCCATGGGATGTGAACCTCTGTGCCGATTTGCGGCGTGCGTCCGATAATGGCAGCTCACGGAAGTGGCGATCAGCTGCGCAGGTGGCAGCACCCAGGCAGGGCAGTTGCGCAGTTGGCAGCCCCCAGGGAGGGCGAGGTCCCTTTTCTGGGCTTGCGTGGGACGTCACTCGGCTGGACCTCCCAGGAGCTTACAAAAGCGGCGACATCTGCGGACCTGGCGAGGTCTCTTTCGGGTCCCCGAGGGGCGTCACTCCGCTGGGCCTCCCAGGAAGTTACGGAACTGGTGGACATGTAGGTTGTTACAACAGTTCGTGGCCTCAGAAGCGCGGATCCATGGCTCGTTATTCGGAAACGTGGCATCAGTGGCGTTGTATAATGTATGATTTCTTTGGCTAGGGATCGTGGCTTCGGAAGCGCGGACCCATGGTGCTTTACACATGATCGTGGACCCTGGAGCGCAGATGCGTTTTGAGACGAGGCGTCGTGGGCTCGGGGGCGCGGATAAATAGTTCTGCGAAGAGGGATGAGGCCGTATTGGGTGCCGTATAAAGAACCATCGCGTGCGCTTCGCGCGCGCTCAAGTTCTAGCTAGCTTGAAGGATAGCGCGTAGCGAAGGATAGCGCGATGCGGCTCTTGGGCCGTCTCGGGGCTCTCTTCGAGACTGTTTTGGGCTTCTTGGGGGCCTCTTGGGGACTTTTGGGGGCCTCTCGGGGCCTCTTGGGGACTTCCTGCGGGCCTCTTGGGGCCTCTTGGGGGCATGTTGGGGCGGAAAGCTTGATTTTTCAGTTCGCGTTCCCTCTCTTGGGCCCCTCTTGGGGCCTTCTTGGGACCCTCTTGCGCCGTCTTGGGCGGCTCTGGAGCCGTCTCGGGGCTCTCTTGGGCCGTCTTGGGGCCCTCTTGGGAGCCGCATGGGCCGTCTTGGAGCGGTTTGGGGGGCCTCTTGGGCGGTGCCTTAGCGCTTGAAACACGAAACAGCGAGAATGCAAAAATAACATTGGAAAAAAACAATGAAAATCAACGATTTGCCCTCTCGGGGCGTTCTTGGGCGGCATCTTGAAGGCCTCTTGGGGCGTCTAGGGGGCCTCTGGGGCAGTTTAAAACGCATCGTGCGTCGCCAAAGACCCCTGGACGGCGTCTTGGGGGTGTCTCGAGACCGTCAGGGGCCGCCGGGATTGCTATCTGAGGGCTCCTCGGGGCGATGTTAGGCTTCCCAGAGGCGTGCCCGGGCACTGGGGCCCACATTTGCGGTCGAGGTTCCGGCCCTCGGCCACCGGGCCCGGTGCGCCGTTCTGTGTATATGCGATACGATGCTATGCTATGCTATGCTACGTCATACTGTCTGATGCGATGGTACGCTATTATATACGATGCTATGCTATGCTATGCGATGCTATGCTATGCTATGCTATGCTATGCTACGCCATGCTCTTCTATGCTGTGCTGTGCGATGCTATGCAATGCTATGCTCTGCTGTGCGATGCAATGCTATTTTGTAGCTCCAGTTGGCCCCCCCTTCCTCCCCCCCTTCACCACACACACACACACACTACCTCCGTATCACCCGAAGGGTGGTCGTACATGTAGGTGTTAACTGGCTAGATCTCGCGGCCAGAGACGCAACCGCCTCGCGCAAACTTGCCTGGAATGGGAACGATCTGGGAGGAGCGGGGAGAGGTGCGGAGTGGGGTGTCTTGTGGGCCTCTTGGACTGTCTCAGAGCGCACTGGGATCCACAGGCGCCTACTGAGGCCGTCTTGGAGGGCTCTGTGGGACTTCTTGGGGCGATCCTGCGGGCTTCTTGGGCCGTTTGGGACGCCTTTTTGGGATGTCTTGCGGCGATCTTGGGGTTATCTCAGCGCCTTCGGGCTCTCCGAAAGCCCCCCGAAGGCCCGCAATGAGTCCCGGACCCCGAGGGACACAGTGGGCACCGCGGGGGGAGGGTGGAGTTTTGGAAAAGTGGGCCGCCTCGGGCCCCAGAGGCCTGGTCGCAGGGTCCGCATGGTGATGGTGGGCAACTATGATGAGCGCTTGCGCGCTGCAGTCAGAGCCACCTTGAGCCAAAATGGCTACGGATACTCGTGGAGCGTCTTTCGGGGCCCCTTTGGGGCCTCGTGGGGCCTCTAGGGGGCCTCTAGGGGGCCTCTTGGGCTCTGTTGGGGGCCTCTTGGGGCCTCCTGGAAGCCTCTTGGGGTGGAAGGCTCGAATTGTCGGTTCGTGCTCCCCCTCTTGGGCCCCTCTTGGGGCCGTCTTAAAACCGTCTTGGGGCCCTCTTGGGCGATCTTCGGCGCCTCTTGGGCCGGCTTGGGGCACTCTTGGGCCGTCTTGGGACTCTCTTGCGCCGTCGTGGCGCACTCTTTGGGTGCCTCTCAGGCCGTCTTGAGCTGATTGCTGGGGCCTCGTGGACCGTCGGAAGCACGAAACAGCGAGAACACGAACAACCTTAAACCCAGTCAGCAAGAAAAACATACTTTTTCGCCTCTTGAATGCCTCGCGGGAGTCCTTTTGAGGGCATCTTGGCCGACTTGAAACCCTCTTGGGTACAACGCTCTTGTGCGGTCGTGGGCTCTCTTGGGGCGCTCTTGGGCCATCTTGGTGCCTTCTTGGACGTCTCTCGGCCCCCTTTGGCATTTTTTGGCGCCCCTCGCTGGGCCCGAAACGGCCGGAAGGCAAATCAGTGTACTTTGGGGGCCCCAGGACCCCCTGCTCATTATATGTGTATATATGTGTGACCATATGCACATATGTATATGCGTATATATATATATATATGTGTATGAATGCACATCTATATAGGTGTCACGCAAGCTACCGAACAACAGAAACTTGCAAATGACGTGTGCAATTGATCCTGCGGTACGTGCTACGTGATGTTCGCGCATGGTTGCGCTTTCGTGCGATTCCCTATCACACCACGTCGCATTCACGCCGGAGGCATGCCAGCTTCAAGGTTGCTGGAGCTCGAACTGGCTCAACCAAATCAAAGATGATTCCAGTGCCAGACGGCATTGTCGGGGCCTGGCGGTCACCCACCGCTTGGTTACGGGTCGCGCGCAGGCTCCAAGAACAGAAAAGTTTATGCATGCAGTGCAGCTAGGGGGAGGGGCCAACCACAAGAGGGGGTAAGGCGGAAGTCTCCATGAGGAGTCTTGAAAAAGCACGCTCTTTTCACGGCACTCGCTGGGGCCCAGTCGCCCGAAGTTGTTCGAATCGCGATTCACCGTCGAGACGAGGCGAGCAGCACTCAAAGCCGGCGCCGCAAGTGCCCGCAACCTATGCCACGGAGCTCGCCACATTTCTAAAGTTATCGTGAAAACCCTCGAAAGGGTCGGGGGGGTCGGGAACCGAAAAAGCTATGAGCAACAAGGACAGATCAGGCTGCAAAGGCAAAAACCTTCGGGTTTTTGCTAATCGCGCCAAAGCCGGGCGCGATTAGCGAAAACCCGAGGCTTTTTGACGACTGTAGTTTACAGGCGACGCACGGCCCCGACTCCCTAGATAGCACATAAAAGACTGTTTGAAAACATGTATTGATGCAGTGCAGCTAAGGGGAGGGGCCAGCCACAAGAAGGGGGGTCGGGCGGAAGTCTCCATCAGGAGTCTTGAAAAAGCACGCTTTTTTCACGACGCTCGCTGGGGCCCAGTTGTTCGAATCACGATTCACCGTCGAAACGAGGCGAGCAGCACTCAAAGTCGGCGCCGCAAATGCCCGCAACCTGTGCCACGGAGCTCGCCATTACTAAAGTTATCGTGAAGAACCCGCACATGCGCGTTCGCTCTATCGGAACCCATACACTATACAAGCGCGAAAGTCTACGCAAGCCAGGAGTGCACGCCAAGGCTGAACGGGGTGAAAACCACCGCCAAAAACGACAAACAGAATTTAGTGGCAGTGCTGGCTTCTTGTGAATCATCAGTGGTCGTCGTGGCGCACACCGAATGGAAATTCTTTTGGGGGTCTGTTTGCTGTCCCGTCGCCTTGGACTCAGGCTCACACCTCCTGTCTTCCACGGGCAACCATCCACCGCCAGACTCCACGAGCTTCTTCCAAGACGCGGCAAACGCTATGTCAAGTTTCTGCTGGTCACACACCCAATGTTTCGCTAACGCCAGGTACGCATCATCGTTCACAAGAGCCAAGTCTGCTGTCAGACGCATGGTTCCAGCCAAGATGCTGGTCCTGTCCTTCGTCTGCCACTGCACCGCCGACCCAGATGGAGTTGCGACTTGCTCCCACTCCTCATCAAGCATTCCAGTCAAGAATTGGTTGGTCCATTGAGAAGGAGTTGTCGTCCACGGCCCCTCGAAGCCACTCGTCATAACGCCGGCACCATGACACTTGCCGAAAGCATGACCACCTGCTATCAGCGAAGCTGTCTCAGAATCGTTCATCCCCATGCGGCCGAACACCTCCCGAATCTCGACGGCACTCTTCTCTGGATCTGGGTTTTGCCCACTGTTCAGATCGTTCGGGTCGTTCAAAGGCCCCTCAGGGTTCACATAGATCAAACCAACCTTCACCGCACCCATTGGCTCCTGGCAATTGCCTTGCACAACGCAGTCCGTATCTTGCCAGCTATCTGTGACGCCAAAAATGTCACTCTTGTTACCATCTGCATCATCGACTCGTCCAAAACAGTGCGGGTTCGTTGGGCCTCCCATGTCCCGGATAGCAACGGTACCAGCAAAACTGATGAGGTCACCCCAACTGAGAGCATCGCCATATTTTTGCTTGATAGGAACGAGAAGGGCACGGGCCTTATCAAGGTTACCATTGTCCTCCCAATCTGACTCTGGTGGGAAGCGGATTCTGGCACCTCCGCAGCCACCTTTCTGATCAGATGTGCGAAAAGTGCCAGCGCAATGCCACGCTAGGCGAATCATAAAACCACCGTAATGGCCATCATCCGCTGGCCAGCAAGTCTGGCTGTCTGTCATGAGGACTCTGAGGTCCTGCTCAAGTGCCTCAATGTCTAGTCCTTCTAGGGCTGTCTTGAAGTCACTGTCAGAAATGACTTCTGCCTTCAAACTTGGAGGAGTGCCAATGTCCATGAAGGGGCATGATCCAAATACACCAATCGGTAAAAGAGCCACGATTAATGAGTTCATCGCTGCTTTGAAACACTTTGAATCCGAATGTCGCTGGACGTTGGCCTGAAACAGTTGAGCCTTGAGCCAAAATGGCTACGGAGGGGGGCCTGTTGTGGCTATCTTGGAAGGACTTAGCGACATCTTGGAACCGTCTTTGGGTCTTTTGGCCCTCTAGGGCCGTCTTTGAGCGTGAGGGCGGCACAATCGGGCTGCACCAATTGCAACAACATTCTACCGATGTCAGGGCATAGCTAAAATCCATCTTGGCCTCTGAAACCGACCACCGATGGACAAAAAGTCGATCCAAACACGGGTCGTGAATCCGCTGTTTCCCCACATCCTAAGGGGGGCTCTTGCTTTCCCCATATCCAAAGTGAGCCTCTTGTTTTCTCTGGACACTCCGCGCAGGAACCAGAACATCCCTTCCGTTCCCAATCACATACTCACACACGCACACTCACATCACCATCATCATCACAGCCACATCATCATCACTTACACACTCACTCACACTCCCTCGATCATCTCACTCACATCCACACTTGAGGAAGTACCAGGCGGGAGCCTCGTCTGTGAGTGAACCGCGAGGAAGTCTCATGCGGGAGCCCTTTCCCTATGGGGCCCGCAGCTCACGTTGCTAATCCGAGCGGATCACCAAAAATATGTAACTGTCGTCGTTTTTGGACTCCTGAGGCCTAAATATAGAAAGAATATCAGGCGGGAGCCTCGTCTGTGAGTGAATTGCGAAGAAATCTCAGGCGGGAGCCCCGTCCCGATGGAACCCACAGATCGTGTTACTAATCCAAGCGGGCAATCGGAAACCTGTAACTGTCCTCATTCTTCCCACATCCAAAGTGGGGCTCTTGTTTTCTCCGGACACCCCGCGCGGGAACAAGAACACCCCCTCTCTTTTCACTCACACGCTCGCACACACAATCACATCACCATCATCAGCACCACCACATCATCATCATCATCATCATCATCATCATCATCATCATCATCATCATCATCATCATCATCATCATCATCATCATCATCATCATCATCATCATCATCACTTACACGCTCACTCACACTTCCCCGATCACTCTCATTCACTCATAACTTACTCACTCACTATCCCACTCGGACAATCACGTCTCCCGAATGCTTCACTCATTCCCTCACAACTACTACTCGTCACTCAACATCATCACTTGTTATCACACCACCACCGTCACAACCGTCACTATCACACACAAACACACACCCTCAGCCACACACCAATACCCGCATTTGAGGAAATACCAGGCGGAAGGAACGTGGCCTGTGCGTGAATTGCGACGGAGTCTGAAGCGGGACCCCCCTCCTTATGGGGCCCGCAGCTCATGTTACTAATCCGAACGGGTCGTCGGAATCCTGTAATTGTCGTCACTTTTGGGCCCCTGGGGCCGGAATATAAGGGGACTTGTCAAGCGGGAGCCTCGTCTGTGAGTGAATCGCGAGGAAGTCTCAGGCGGGAGCCCTTTCCCGATGGGGCCCGCAAATTAAGTTACAGATCCGAGCGGGTCATCGGAAACCTGTAACTGTCGTCACTCTCGGGCTCCTCAGGCCTGAATATTGAAAAGTCTCAGACGGGAATTCCCTGCGTGAGCAAATTGCGAGGAAGCCTTAGACGGGAACCCTGTCCCGATGGGGCCCGCAGCTCACGTTACTAATCCGAACGGGTCATCGGAATCCTGTAAATGTCGTCACTCCTGGTGTCTTCAAGCTTGAGTATGGAGGAAATTTAGGGCGAGACTTGTTCCCAACCATCCTGTGGTGTTGGGTCCTCGTGTTGAAGAGACGGTCCCCGCGTTCCTTCCTTTTTCCCAACCATCCTGTGGTGTTGGGTCCTCGTTTTGAAGAGACAGCGCCCCGCGTTCCCACTCCTCCTCCCTCCTCCTCCTCCTCGTCCCTCCTCCCCCTCCTGGCCTCTGCCCTCCGCATCTTACCGTGTCGGCGCATCCAGTACAGCGTTTCGTGGCCCCACAGGGAGCTCCACCGAAGGCCCCAGTGGCTGCGTTCGCATGCGCCCGCCGCACCCATTTCGGCACACCCCTCACACGTTTCGTGGCCCCACAGGGAGCTCCACCGAAGGCCCCACTGGCTGCGTTCGCATGCGCCCGCCGCACCCATTCAGGCACACCCCTCACACGTTTCGTGGCCCCACAGGGAGCTCCACCGAAGGCCCCCTGTGGCTGCGTTCGCACGCGCCCGCCGCACCCATTTCGGCACACCCCTCACACACTTCGTGGCCCCACAGGGAGCTCCACCGAAGGCCACAACGGCTGCGTTCGCATGCACCCGCCGCACTCCATTCGGCACACCCCTCACACGTTTCGCGGCCCCACAGGGAGCTCACTGAAGGCCCCAGTGGCTGCGTTCGCATGCGCCCGCCGCACCCATTTCGGCACACTCTTCACACGTTTCGTGGCCCCACAGGGAGCTCCACCGAAGGCCCCAGTGGCTGCGTTCGCATGCGCCTGCCGCACCCATTTCGACACACCCATCACACCTTTCGTGGCCCCACAGGGAGCTCCACCGAAGGCCCCACTGGCTGCGTTCGCATGCGTCCGCCGCACCCATTTCGGCACACCCCTCACACGCTTCGTGGCCCCACAGGGAGCTCCACCGAAGGCCCCAGTGGCTGCGTTCGCATGCGCCCGCCGCACCCATGCAGGCACACCCCTCACACGTGTCGTGACCCCACAGGGAGCTCCACCGAAGGCCCCCTGTGGCTGCGTTCGCATGCGCCCGCCGCACCCATGCAGGCACACCCCTCACACGTTTCGTGGCCCCACAAGGAGCTCCACCGAAGGCCCCAGTGGTTGCGCTCGCATGCGCCCGCCGCACCCATTTCGGCACACCCCTAACACATTTCGTGGCCCCACAGGGCGCTCAACCGAAGGCCACAGTGGCTGCGTTCGCATGCGCCCGCCGCGCCCATTTCGGCACACCCCTCACACGTTTCGTGGCCCCACAGGGAGCTCCACCGAAGGCCCCAGTGGCTGCGTTCGCATGCGCCCGCCGCACCCATGCAAGCACACCCCTCACACGTTTCGTGGTCCCACAAGGAGCTCCCTCTCATGTGTCTAACCTGGTTTGCGGCACCTGCAATTGCATATGGTCGGGCCCTTCGCCTGGATAATGTTCCGTCATTCCTTCCTTGTTTCCTTCATTCCTTCCACCTCCCCCTGCCTCCTTCCATCCCTGCGTGTGCCCTGCGCATGTCCTCGTCGTCGTCATCATCATCAGCAGCATCATCATCGTCATCGCCATGTCGTCATCATCATCATCATCATCATCATCATCATCATCATCATCATCATCATCATCATCATCATCATCATCATCCTCATCCTCATCCTCATCCTCATCCTCGTCATCATCACCATCATCATCATCATCATCATCACCATCATCATCATCATCATCATCAGCATCATCATCATCATAATCAGCATCATCATCAGCATCATCAGCATCATCAGCATCAGTATCTTTATCATCGTCATCATCACCATCACCGTCATCATCATCTGCATCATCAGCATCATCGACGTCATGATCGCCACCGTAATCGTCACCACCATCGCCACAAATTTCGCCACACCCCTTAAAGTTTCGTGGCCCCACAGGGAGTCCCACCGAAGGCCTCAATGGCGGTGTTCGCATGCGTCCCCCCCGCCCAACACAGGGCTTCGCGACCCCATCGGGAACCCCACCCAAGGGCTTAGTGGCGGTGTTCGCACGCGTCTCCCCCACCCAGCCAGCACAGGGCTTCGCGGCCCCATAGGGAGCCCCACCTAAAGCCCCAGTGGCGGTGTTCGCATGCGCCCCCCCCCCAACCCAGCACACCGTTGCGCGGCCTCATATGGAGCCCCACCTGAGGCCCCACTGGCGGTGTTCGCACGCATGTCCCCAACCCAGGACAGCGCTTCATGGCCCCACAGGGAGTTTCACCTAAGGTCCCACTGGCGGTGTTCGCATGCGTCCCCCCCACCCACCCACCCACCCACGACAGCGTTTCGCTTCCCCACACCGAGCTCCACGTAAGGCCTCAGCGGCGGTGTTCGCATGCGCCCCCCCAACCCAAGACAGCGCTTCGGTGCCGGGGCGTTCCACGTAAGGTTTGCGGCGGTGTTCGCATGCGCACCCCCAACCCAAGACAGCGCTTCGGTGCCCCACAAGGAGCTCCACCTAAGGCCTCTATGGCGGTCTTCGCATGCGTACCCCCAACCCAAGACAGCGTTTCGGTGCCCCACAGGGAGCTCCACCTGCGGCCCCAGTGGCGGCGTTCGCATGCGTCCCCCCCTCTCCCAGAACAGCGCTTCGTCGCCCCGCTGGGAGCTTCACTTGATGCGTCACTGGCAGTGTTCGCATGCGCTTCCCCCACCCAGGACAACGTTTCCTGGCCCCACAAGGAGATCCACCAAAGGTCCCAGTGGCGGTGTTCGCACGCGTCTCCCCCACCCAGGACAACGTTTCGTGGCCCCACATCGAGCTCCATCTAAGGCCGTTGCGGTGGTGTTCGCATTCGCCTCCCCCACCCCGAATTTCGTGGCCCCACAGGGAACTCCACTTACGGCCCCAGTGGCGGTGTTCGCATGCGTCCCCCCCACCCCACCCCACCCAGGACAGCGTTTCGTCGCCCCACAAGGAACCCCACCTGCGGCCCCAGTGGCGCGTTCGCATGCGTCTCCCCCACCCGGGATAGCGTTTCGTGGCCTCACAAGGAGTTCCACCCATGGCCCCAGTGGCGGTGTTCGCATGCGTTTGCCCCACCCATGGCAGCCCCCGGTGGCCCCACAGGGAACTCCACCTAACGTCTCAACGGCGGTGTTCGCATGCGTCCCCCCGACCCAGGACAACGCTTCGTCACCCCACAAGGAGCTCCACCTAAGGATGTTGTGGCGATGTTCGCATGCGTACCCCCAACCCAAGACAGTGCTTCGGTGCCCCACAGGGAGCTCCACCTGCAGCCCCAGTGGCGGCGTTCGCATGCGTCTCCCCCACGAGGGATATCGTTTCGTGGCCTCACAGGGAGTTTCACCCATGGCCCCACTGGCGGTGTTCGCATGCGCCTCCCCCT